ACACACGCGGCACTCCTCTGGAATGCTGTCTGTGGCCAGTGTGTTCCTGGGACAGCAGTGTGGCCCTGACAGCCACATCCATGTCCCTGCACATCCCCAGAGGGAAGGCCATGGGCTGGCACAAGCAGTGTGCTGCTCCATCTGCTCCCTCAGCCCCAGCAGCAGCAGTGTGGCCCTGATAGCCACATCCATGTCCCCTGCACATCCCCACATCCCCAGAGGGAAGGCCATGGGCTGGCACAAGCACTGTGCTGCTCCATTGCTCCCTCAGCCCCAGCAGCAGCAGTGCTTGAGCACGGTGGGGACAGCACCCGCCCCAAAAGAGAAAGCAAAGCAAGCAGCAGCATTTCATCAGAGGAGGCCTGCAAAGAAAACATTATTTCCTCAAATGTGTTCATCATTCAAAATTATTCAAGCAAAGGTTTCCATCGTGCTGTGGCCATTACTCATAATCGGAGGCTCTGGAGCTCGGCTCTCCTTGGTAATTAGCTGCATGGCGGTCTGTGTTCCCTCCAGTTGGTGGAACAGCAGTTGTGTCTCAGTCCCGGAGTGTCTCACAGAGCAAACAGGGCTGGTTCTGGCTGGGAGCCTTCAAACAGGACTCACCAGGCAGATTTCAGCCCTGTACCACGAATGGTGCCAGTGCCTGAGCACCCTGAGCCAGAGGCTCCCGGTGACCCTGACAGGTCATGGGGTTTTTTGGGCCCTTCTTCCCTTGTCATGGGGGCAGCTGGTGACAGTCCCTCCTCCTTCCACGGACAGCCCATTCCTTCAGGAGGGGAATGCAATGAACCTCTTTTGTCCTGGCCAAAGCCACCCCTGGGTGCTACATAAATCAGTTGTCTCTGTTAGTGTTCTGTACATCATAACTGAAATACAAATGTGACAACTTATCTAGTGCACAGTAACAACCATGGGATAGGAAAGTTAATGGGAAGTAGATCAAGAAATGGCTTTTTCCAAACCACTTCATCTGTTTCAGAGTGGGTCCCTGAAYCATTTCTGCAAAGGCTGTTTTGGAACTTTCCAGGCATTGCTCACTCGTGCCCTGTGAGTGTGATGCCCAGGGCAGTGAATATCTGCAAACAGTATTTTCCTGATGTGTGTGTTGGGGATGGAGGAAGTCTGCCAGCAGCAGAGCTGGTTCCCGTGTGAGGGCTGGGAAAGGTCCTTGCAGGTATCAGCAGGACCCTGATTTACCTGCATGGTTACACACCTCCCCTGCCCCCAGAGCAGATGATTGTGGGGTGTCTGATGGGTGTCTCCCCTCCTCAGGGAGAAAAACCAGAGCTGGTAGCCTGGGGCACAGCTTGCTTCTGCCCAACAGGCACTGCCCAGCCTGTGCCATGCTCCCCTGGCACCTGTGGGTGCAGCCATGGCAATCACCCCTTCCAGCCACGCCATGTGTGGCAGTGGCACAAACACAGCATATCCCACAGCTGACAAACCCAGCCTGCACACCATTATTTGGAACAGTGCTCTGGAGGATGGGAGCTCTGGCAGCCATCCACTCACTCAGGGATGAAGGAGCTGTGTTTGTTCAGCCACAACTCCAGTGCTGGAGCAAAGACTGCCCAAATTTCCCTTTAGGTGTCCTGAAAAGATGGCACTGCTGTGAACTGGACAGCATGTACAGGACTGCACAACTCACAAGAAAAACCATGTTCTGAATAAAGAGGAGTAAATAAATGCATCTTGAAAAAGACTCATGTAAAATATTCATAGGAAAGCATTATATTTACTGGTATTTATAGTTTTGAGTAAATTTTCACAGACAGACTAACCAGCTCCAGTGCAGCCATGATCCATATACCCAATCCCAGTGTTTGCTGGTTCAGAACCCATGACATGCCCTGTGGCAGAGCACAACGGGGCTTTTCCCAGCTCCAAACCTGCCCAGGTTTCAAGGTGCCAGCACTTGCCTGAGCTGTGCTCTGGCCAGCAGCTACACTGGGCAGTGAGTGTCTCTTTGGAAAGCATGTTACTCCAGTTCATGCCACAAACACGTTGGAATATATGTTTGCAGTGAATCTTTGAATATTTTGTGGCTACAAACCAGCAATTAGAATCTTCCTTTGGAATCACTTCATTTCCTACCACCATGGTGGCAGGGAGGATCTTATTGAAGCTCTCRGATTTTTAATATTATTACACTAAAGACTCTCTCAGTATCAGCATCTCCATGGGGGAGCATTAGCACACTGTAATGTGTAACAACTTCTCCAGTTCAGGAAATCTTCTTGTATTTCTAATAGGACATTTGGGGCATATATTATGTATGGGACATATATTTCTCATTTCCACYAGGCATCATCTTTTCTTCTCTCTAAATTACTCTCCAAATATAAAAAATGCATTGTATTCCTTATCACTCAAAAAAGAATTTTTTTTTTTTAATCTTTGGATGCAGAATCCACCAACAGCCATCAGAGCTGTATACAGTAGGAGCCAGAGGGCCTTGGTCAAACAGGGCAGGAACAGAGTTGCTGTTCAAAATGCTGTTATTACCACGGTTCAGCAAGCACCAGTCTAAAATGGGTTACTGGAGAGAAGCACCAGTCAGGACAGGAGGAACATCCCAGAGTTGTGTCCTGGATGAAGCAGGACAGCAGTTTCTGTAGTTTGCTTTACAGCCAGGAACACAAAACCACTAATGTGCACGTTGCCTTGCAGACAAACCTCTCAAACACTGACTAATCAAAGCTCTCAGTGTTTGGCTCGATAGTCTGTCTGACCACATCACGATGAAGAGCAGGGAGCTGCAGCATCCCCGAGGACCAAACCCAAGAGCTCCCTGGTGCTGAGCTCTGCAGAAACACCAACACCTACAGCCCACTCACGGCTGGGCCAGTGGGAAACGCTGCCTGCCTCAGAGAGAGGTGCAAAACCAGCCTGGAGACCCACTAAAGGAAAGGCTGTTGGCTCAATCACTCCTGCTCAGCTCAGTTTGGCTAAAGCAATGTAGAGACAGCMCAAACAGGATGGAAAACACAAACCGTTATCTGGGTGATAAAAGAACAGGCTGAACAGAATTCCTCCAAAGATGGCCAACAGAGCAAAAAGAAAATGGGAGAGGGAAAAAAAGGGGAATTAGTATTTTAGATAAAGGCACAATATCAGACAATGAAATACCCTGTGACCATAGAGATGGACCTTCTGATAAATGCACCACCCTGTCACACAGTACATGATTTTGTCAGTGAGAGGAAATTTGGGTGTCTGAATGGGATCTTCCCCTAAGACACAAAGGCCACAGAAAACCCTGGCATCATGGAAAATAGAGTGAACCAGCTCCACAAAGGATGGGGGAGACCATCTGCTCCTGGAGAATGACTGGATAATGTCTGTAAGAGCTTCCAGGAGGCCTTTCCATTTGATCAGTAACAAAAATTCTCCAAGCTGTTTTTCACTCTTTGATATTGTAGTTTTCTACCCGTATCTTCACAGAATCTCTTGCTGCACTTCACACCCATCACTTCTTAGTCTCTCACAAAAGGGAACAGGTTTCTGCCCTTCTCTTTAATTCACACACACATTAACATGTGTCCTACCCTCCCTTATTTCATTCTTCCCCCAGGATTCTTTTCTTTTGYTTTAGATTAGCAACTCCACAGGGTGTCTTGCATCAAAGGCTGCTGATGTCAGCCCCTACACCCATCTTGCTGCTCTCCAGACATTAGTTGTTGACATTGCTTCAGGTAAGGTGCTCAAAATCCAACGCAGGACATGCAGTTCATGTAATGATGGCTATGGACCAGGCCCCTGTCCCATGTTATGCTGTGATTCACATCATCTGCTAATTCAATGAGTGTCCTGTCCGTTTCAACACTGGCATGTGATGAGGTTGAGCAGAACCAGACCATTGCAGATCCTTCATTCAGGATGTTTTCTGTGCTCTGAGTGGACTCAAAGGCTGCTGGTCATCCAGCCAGGCAATCCTGACTGCTTTGGAATATCTGTTTAATTTGGTTTTCAGGCCATGGTGAGACAGTGCATCAAATGAGTTCAAGGTATGTCCTGAAACTGCTCAACCCCCTAACCCCAGGGACTTCTTGAAAAGACAACCAGCTTGTTTGCCACCCTTTGCCCTTCCGCAGCCCACAGCAGCTGCTGTCCATCCTCTGGATGCAGCCTGTTCAGAAGGAAGAAGGAAGGTTACATTGACCAAATCCCAACCATTCAGCTTTTGCACCCGGCAAAGGCTCGGGGTCAGAGCCGAGGGCTGTCCCGGGGGAGCTGGGGCGGGCATCGCCTGTTCCCGGG